TGGAGCTGGCGCTGGGTCACTGCAGTTTCGGCTTCGGCCCTGGCGCGGGTGACCCGGGCGGCGTCGCCGCGCCCCAGACCCGCGGATGAGCACGACTCCTGCCGCCTTGACCGCTCTGTCGCCTCACAGTGTCGCCTCACGTTTTAGCCCGGAATAGACTCAGACGACTCCGCAGGCGGGGCCGCGGAAGGAGGACGCCGGAAGTCCCTCCCAAGTCCATGAGGCCTCACGGAAATGCTTTCATCTTGATCTGTCATTGGCTCAACTCAGCGCACTGTCTTATGGGTAATGTAGTTCCCAGCGCACTAGAGACCACAGCCAAGGGAGTTCTCCATCCTGAGCCCCTATAACTTTTTCCACTGGAGTGATCTCCTAAAATGATGGTACTACGTGGAGAGAAGGGTATTTTGTTGTTAACTTCAGCAAAATCTTAATTCTGACATCATCTGCCTAAAGATACTTAAGGGCTCTGTCCCACAAGGCTGCCCCCCACCCCACTTCAGGTACCAATTGCAAGTCCAGATGGTGCCTGTGCTTCAGAAAAACAGGTTGTTTTAAACAGAAATCCAGTACCCACCCTGGCCAACTAGCTCAGTTGGTTAGATCGGTGTCCCCATATGTCAACACTGCAGGTTTCATCCCCAGCCAGGGCCCATATAAGAATCAACCGATGAATGCATAAATAAATGGAACAGCAAATTGGTGTCTCTCTCCCTCTCTCTTCCTTTCTATTTCTAAAATCAATAAACAGCCTGGCCGGGCGTGGCTCAGCGGTTGAGCATCGACCTAGGATCCAGGCGATCAGGGTTTGATTCCGGGTCAAGGCACATGCCGGGTTGCGGGCTGCAGTTGATCAATGACTCATCATTGATGTTTCTCTCTCTCTCTCCCTCTCCCTTCCTCTCTCTGAAATCAATAAAGATATATTTTAAAATAAATAAATAAATAAAAATAAAATCAATAAACAATAACAATAAAGAAAGAGAACCAAAGGCCAAAATGGCATCACTCATGCTGCAAACCAATGATACCAAACCTAGTTTAATACCTGACATAACTGCAATTTCAACCACTTTCAGGAACATAATTTTGTGTTTTTTAATATTCTTTATTTTCCCATACACAAAATATATTTTTAAACAACATTATACCTTTCTGTAGTTTGCTAACTCCAAAGCACTTTTCCTGAAATAATCTCCAGTCCCCATGCAAACACTGTCGCTGCATTCACAGGAGAAATGTTCATTACTTCCCAGTGAGAACATTAGAAGTTTGAATCCAAAAACCTTTATCTCAGGTTGAGTTGCACACTTTCCACACTTCCATGGATGCAAAAACTGCAGGATCTTCAGAGCAAATATAAATTTGCTATGTAGCCACATTCCCAGACACTTGTCACATTCCATAAAAAATGAATTCTGGTTGTGGAATTCTTAGATATTAAATAGCAACCAAAACAATGGGCAGTTATCAAAATTCCAGGGCATCATAAAGCTATCACCATGGAAGCAAAAGGAAATCACTTCACCAACACTGCAGCTAGGAAGGCAGCATTGAAAGGTCAAGTAATTCAGACCTGAGAATGTCCTTTTGCTTTCTATTAAATCAGTAAAAGATTATCTTTTGCAGTTTCAACACACAACTACAAAGGAAGAAAATAGGGTATGGTAAGAAAAGGGG